GAACCCCGCTTACGCTTGGAGTGCTTGTCGCACAGGGCGGCCGCCCGCATGTCGCAGAGGCGCAGGGAGCCCTTGCTGCTGCTGTAGACGAAGAGGTTGCAGTGGTGCGGGTGGAACTCGGACGCCGTGATCACCTCCGTCAGATCCTCCATGTTGGCCGGCTTGATGTCCACGATGTCTGGGCCGTCAAGGAAGGTGCCGGCTGCTCCCTGAGCAACACCTCGGGGCCCCCCCTACACCCTGGGGTCCCCCACCCCACACCCTCGGGTCCCCCACCTTACACCCTCGGAGGCCCCACCCTACACCCTGGGGTCCCCACCCTACACCCTGGGGTCTCCACCCACCCACACCCTGGGGTCCCCACCCTACACCCTTGGGGTCTCCCCACCCCCTACACCCTGGGGTCCCCACCCTACACACTGGGGTCCCCCACCCTACACCCTGGGGTCCCCCACCTCTATAACTTGGGGTGCCCCCACCCCCTCTCCCTGACATACCCCACATCTAAGCCGCCTCTCCGTTCCCCAAGCCCCTGGACAAACACCCACCCCAAAGAGTCCCCAAGCTGCAGGCCTGCATGTCGCAACGCCCACTGGCTGCCCCGTCTGAGTACCCGTCCATTGTCCCCAAAAGCCTGGACTTGCCACCTCCCTCCTGACCTGAGCCCTCTCCCCGCCAGTGCCATCCACTGAGGCCCCTGTGCCTGCCTCCCGTCAGGGCGGGCAGAAGGCAGAGCGTGTGGAGTGCCTGCTGCACGCTGGGCACTCAGTGACCGTCCCCATGCCCCCGCCTCTGCATGTGCAGTGGCCCAGGCTCAGCTCGGCCAGCTCCTCCTGTGTGACCGAGGACGAGACCCGGTTCTCGGTGCCTCGGTTTCCTCGCCTGTGAAATGGGTTAACAGCTCCTCCCTCGGGCTTGCGGTGGAGACTAGCAGAGGCACGGCCCCTGGCACACCGCCGGCCGCATCTCAGAGCCCAGTGCCGCCAGCTGCCCATCACTGCGTGACAGTAACACCAGCGGCAATGCTGACACTCACCTCCCGTAAGCCCTCCCCCATCCCAGCTGCTTTCTCTCAGTAGAAAGGGGCGTCTTCTGGAAACTGCTGTGAACAGGAGAGTTTATAACCATCAGAAAGACCCTGACCCTGTGCGTCAGGGGCCCGAGGAGGGTCTGTGCTTGCGCTCAAATCCCGCCTCCCGGGAAGCACGGCGCTTCCCACAAACTTAGAATCACACGGAAACATGCAGAGAGGACCAGGGGCCCCGTCACCGCCTGAAGCGGTTGCCGTGGAAACGGCGGTTTTCTGTGCGATACGAAGCAGAGATTAAATCATGAGAAATGAGACCGAAGGCTGATGAGGAAGGGCTGCAGCATCTGTGACGCGAGTCCCGCCCACATCAGCCTTGCAGTCCCGCCGACAGCCCGGGACTGAGGTTCTCACAGCCCAAGCCTCGGAGACCCTCTCTTGCTGTTTCAAAAAAGGACTCTGCCCTGGCTGGTGTTCTCAGTGGTTAGAGCGCTGGCCTGTGCACTGAAGGGTCACGGGTTCTATTCCTGGTTCAGGGCATGTACCTGGGTTGCAGGCTCAATCCCTGTCCCTGGTTGAGACACATGAGGGAGGCAACCAATCAATGTGTCTCTCACATCTCTCTCTCTCTCTCTTTCTCTCTCTCCCCTTCTCCCCCTCCCCCCCTCCCTTCCACTCTCTAAAAATCAATGGAAAAAATATCCCCAGGTGAGAATTAACAAAAAAGGGCTCTGGATAGAGTGGGTGCCAGGGAAAGACAGGTGTGACGCACGGAGCCTGCACTTCCACGTGACCCTGGTGGAGGGAGACAAAGCCAGAGTCGGGGTCAATGTGTGTCTCTGAACCCCAAGATCCAGAGCCCGCACCCGGCACCCCTGGGGCCGGATGGCATCCTTCAGGACCCGACCATCTACCCAGCGCTCCAGGACCTCGGCTCAGCCCCCGAGGACCTGCCCGTGCCGGCTGCCCGGCTCCGGCCTGTGTGAGAGGGTTAGTGACTGGGGGGGCTGTCCCTGTTGTCCCCTCAGTCCTGTCACAGAGCGGGGCCTGCGGTTGGCCTCCCAACAGGGAAGCAGGTGCAGAAGGGGCCTCGGGAGGCAGCACGACAATATGCCCCAGACAGACACGTGGACACCCCCCTGGCTCACCCCGGTGGCCACATGCCTGTGAACTTAGAGGCACTTGGTCCTACAGTGACCGTGGCAGCGGCCCCGATGGGGGCAGTGCCCAGCGCTGGGCCGGGAGCCCGGGCTCTGGCCTGGGTGGCTGGTCTGCTCTCTCTGGAATGGCAGTGCCACCTGAGAAAGCCATGCCCCTCCCGCAAGCCTGCTTCCCCAGGTGCAGAATGAGGGGCTGGGCGTGACCCAGGGGGGCCCTTGCATTGCGAGGATGAACCCCCAGGGCCCCTCCTGGGTCCTTGAGCAGCGGTGAGCCCCACAGACGGGGCTCTAGGAGGTTCGGCAGGACGGACCTCCCTTGGGAAGGAGCGTAAGTTGACTCATCATGAGCCCCCCCTGGCCGAGCGGGACGGGTCATCCGTGCTCTGTCCATCTCACTGTCCCCCCCTGTCCGTGGGCTGCTGTCAAACTCCCGCCGCACTTCGGGGAGAGGAATGCCCCCCACCCCCCGCCCTGAGGAAGGCTTGGCAGCACAGGTGGGCGGACAGGGGCGGTCAGGCCGGGCGTGGGCAGGGGAGAAGGCGGACTCCCTCAGTCCCCCCTCCCAGCGCAGGTATCTTTCTCCAGCGCAGTGGCCGAGTGGTGCCCCCAAAACACACCCACCTCCTCACCCTCAGAGGCCATGAGTGCGACTTCATTTAGAAAAAGGGCCTTTGCTGACACAATCCAGCTAAGGCTCCCAGAGGAGGTCATCCTGGATTCGGGCGGCCCCGAGTCCAACGACAAGTGTCCCTGTAGGAGACCCCAGAGGAGAAGACAGCGGAGGCAGAGACGGGGACGACGCAGCCACAGGGAACCCCGGCCCCGGGAGCTGGAAGAGGCAGAGGAGCCCCCCCGGAGCCTCCGGAAGGAGCCAGCCCTGCCCACTCCTTCCTCTCCAACTTCCAGCTCAGGCCCGGAGGGAGCAGCTTTCTGTGGTCTAAGCCCCTCGTGTGCAGAAATCCGCGCTGGGAAACTCCACCCCGGTTGCCTCCTGGGAGCTGGCGAATGGCATGGGCACCGGGTAGGACCGTGGACTCCGCCCTCTACACCCCTCCTCGCCCGCTTCTTCCAGCGGATCCTGTGTCAGCGCCCCCAGCCCTGAGACTCGAGCCAGGAGCCAGGGCAGCTTCCCCACCCTCTGCCAACAGCCTCCGAGGCCTGGGCTTCCCGCCGGCCGGTCCCAGCGCTGGCCACCTTCCGGCCTCAGCCCGAGTGCATCCCTACGGCAGGGCTTGGGTTCTACCCTGCTCGGCGGCGGCCTCACTGTCCACAGGAAACGCCAGCACCTGCTGGGCCTACCAGACCCTTCACAGTCACCTGACCATGGCTCAGCCACACCTGGGGACACAGCAAAGCTCAGAAACAGGGGTTGGTCCCGCCCCTGAGAGAAGTCTGTGGCGCTTCCTGTCAAGGACACAGGAAGGGAAGGGACCCGGCGGGGCTCCTGCAGTCATCGGGTTTGCAGGGGTTTTTATAGAAACTCCTTCGTCTCCCGCTGCCAAGGGCATCGCCTGCCATCCCGAAGCCGGAGGAGGCCACCCCAGCACCCCGCACCGTCGCCGGCCCTCAGTCCAGAGCTGTGTGCGTCCCCCTGGAGGGCCTGCGGAACGTCACGCGGGAGGTCCCTGGGCTCCCAGTGGCCCTCGTTCCACCGAGCCGCCCCTGTGAGCCTCGGTCCCCCTCACCTGCACGGGGCCCGGGTGAAAACGGCCATCGCCCAGCCACTGGGCACATCCCTGCTGACCATAAAGCAGTTGAGACGGGAAATGGGAACATGTGGTTGGTTCACTCTGCAAGGGGCTCAGGTGAGAACTGGGGAGCAGCCCGCTGACTCCAGGAAGCAACAAGCAGTAACCGACGCCGTGATGGCTTTAGGGGCGAGGCCTCAGCACATGACTCTGCAGACACAGCAGCTGACTGAGCAGAAGACACGTCCAAGGCCCCGGGAGCTAGTGAGGGCAGCCCCCCTGCAGAAAGGGCCCCCCCCAACCCCGACCCCAGGAAGGGCAGGCCCCGGCTGCACACCGAGGTGGCAGAGCAGAGGCGGAACCCTGGCTGCCTGACTTCCAGCCCGGGCTCCTCCCACTGCCTCTCTGTCCGGGAGCGACTGCATCTCCACACGACACGCAGCTCCCCCAGGGGGTGAGCACCCCCAAGGGCACCGCTGCTGGGCTCGCTGGACTGGCTTGTCCTCCGCAAGGTGGACGCTGAGAGCGGGCGGGCTCAGTGACCAGCAGGATGTGGCCTTGGGCTCCATGGATTTAACTGAGCAAAGCGTGCTTCATCCAGATGTCTCGGCAGGAACACACGCTCGGGATGGGAGGGGCTGTTACCATGGTGACAGCAGCCGAGGAGCGAGGATGGAGGCAGCTCTGCCAAGGGCCACGAGGGGCCTCCCACACAGGCCCCAGGGACGCTGGGTGTGCCGGTGCCCGGAAGGCCTCCCTCCCTCACATGGAGGCAGCCTCACGGGCACAGCCAGCAGAGCGGCTTTCTTTCCAGAAAATTTCTCCGGATGATGACCAGGCTACAAGCATGAGCTGTGAGCACTCAGGCCAAACCATGGCCGATCGTGCAGGAGGGTTCCTGGCAGCCTGGCCCGAGGGAGCTTTTCCAGGCTCCACTGCTGGTGGCTTGAACAACAGAGAATTATCTCCTCACAGTTCTCGATGCTAGAAGCCCACAATCGAGGTGTAAGCAAAGGTGGGTTCTTCGAGGCCTCTCTCCTGGGCCTGCACACGGCACCTTCTTACTGTGTCTTTGCACGGTCTCGCCTCTGTGTGCGCATCCCTGGTGTGTCTCTGTGTCCAAATCTCTTCTTAGCAGGACACCAGTCCTACGGGATCAGGGCCCCGCAATGACCTCATTTACCTTCATCACCTCTTTAAAGATTGAACGTCCACCTTCCGATGGCCCTGGGGATGGGGACTTCAGCTTTTGGGGGTGGGGGGGGTCACAATTCAGCCTTCCTCCCTTCTCCACTCAGAACCT